ACTCTGTTAAGTCCTGAAGATACCCCAAGATGCCTGAGGAGGACAAGATGGTATGTTTGCTTTCTGACTGGATATCACTTGTCATCGCATGAGGCTCACGTTCATATATAGAACACTCCCAGCAGGCCCTTGGCTGCCCTTAATTCTCCTAACAGCCCCCGAGCCGAGTCGCCGACTACCGCACGCCCGATGGACTTTGACGACGAGCCCCAGGAGAGCGGAGTTGTCACTTCCTCCCCTGTCGCTGCTCAGCCAGCTGCCGCCGAGCCAGCCCCGCCAAAGCCGCCCCGGCCCCTGAGCCCGAGAGAACAGTCGGAGAACACTCTTAGGGAGGCATTTCCAACCATCGAGCCTGGCGTTATCAAAGCGGTCTTGACCGCAAGCAATTGGAATGTCGAGCGCGCGTTCAATGCCCTGCTAGGTTCGTGGGGAATCTACTATATCAAATGAGTATGAGCTGACCGCGACCTCGGCTTGCAGGTATGACCGACCCCAAGGCTCAAGAGGAAATGACACCACCGCCAAAGCCGCCGCGCCCAACCCAACAGAGTACTGCTGCACAGCGACAACTGGAAGCCGATGAGATGTATGCACGTCAACTATCTGAGCACTACAATGCGACAGGACGTCGCGCACCGCCCCCGGGCTGGGAGAGCGACCCCCGATACCAGCGACCTAGAGGAAGTGAGGAGTCGGAAGAGAGGGAATACAGCTTCTTTGATGGTATGGGCTATAGTGGCTTGCCGAATGAGCTCGTGCTAATTGGGGGTTTACAGATGATCTACCTGTGATCCGCGAGAACCTCCGCAAGGGCTTCCTGGAGACACAGAATAAGGTTAACTCATGGGTAACAAACCTGAAGAAGAGAATTGATGGAGATGATTTGAACGAGGAACCTGGCCAGAATCAAACAGAGACTCCCGCCCATGCCCGGTCCCGGCGCAGTGGTGATATGGGCCGTCGCAGTGGAGATCGTGAGCGCTATGACGCAGATCCCCAAGTTCTCAGCGATGATTTCTCTGCTCTCGAGTTGAGGGATGGTGAAGGTAAACGACGACCTTAAGTCTGGCACCATTGAGTTTTGCTAACTGTGTACAGCTCCCCCGCCTCGCCCCCCTCGCCCGGGTCACTCCAGCCTTAAACCCTCCGTGTCCCCTTCACCAGACAGGCGCAGGGTGTCTTTCCAGGATGGACCCCCCACCGAGATTGACAACATTTACGATGCCTCCACACCATCCAAGCGTCTCGGCTCAACAGGCAGCAAGTCGAGCAAGTGGCAACCATTGTCCACAGTTGAGCCTTCTCCCGTTACTGAGAACGACCCATTCAGCCTCGGCGATAGCGACGATGAAAAGGAAACTAAGACTAAGAAGCAAACTGGCTCGGAGGGAGATCAGCTCAAGCACGCTACTGTTGAGTTAGTGTCCAACGAAGTTGGTTCCTCTAAAGACCAGGAGACCAAGGGCGCGAGCAAGCCCGACGAGTCGAAATGATTGCAAATGATTGGAAATTGAATATCCCCACTGTCGTCTGCGCGAATCACTTCTTGCTTTTCCTCTTTCCTCCCAGCCCATGATGATATGTATTTCTCCTATCGTGCTATTCCGTCCAACTCGCCCTGTGTGCTATCCACGTCCCCGAGTTTACAATACCTAGTAGAGCTAGCCCAAGATGTTTTGCGACATTTCTAATGTCGCCATAAACCCAAGCCAAATTGAATCTGTATTTGTATCGGAAAGCAACAAAACAAAAGGGTATATCTCCGACCGCCCCGTACAGTAACAAATACACGGCCTCGACGCCAAAACCAGAACAAATCAATAGACCTCGTTCAATGCACCGATCTAAAAGACATGTAACTCTCCTTTAAACCCGCGTGGACTGCCCAAAGTGATTACTCCACGGTGTGAGCATTACCCACGCGTTTTGAAGCACCAGTCTCCTTGCGCAGATCCTTGATGACAGTCTGTAAAGCAGAATTAGCTAAAAATTGCCTTTGAAAGCCAATGACACGAGTAGAGTGCTATATTCTTGAGATTTGATCGCAATCTCGCGGGGAAACGCGTACCGCCAAAGCATCGGGGTTGACCCCGTTTTCAATGAGAGACACACAAAGCGACAGCTCTGTCCGGTCTAGGTTTGTATTCTATTCGGCGTGTCAGTTTTTAGGATAATATTGTTTTATTCGCTAGGAGAGAAAGTGACGACATGGACTAGAGTGTCCTGAATCCTGAATCCTGAATCATGTCTAGTTCGGGGAGTCAGCACGCACCAGCAGGTCGGAGATCTCCTGAAGAATATCGATGACTTCTCTGGCGGCTTGGCGCTTGTCATCGACGTCTTGAGATTTTGGGGGCATTTTTGATATTGAGGGTGGGTTGGAGTCACTCCGTAAGGTCGGTTATGTGTTGCAGTTGGGTTGATGTGGGACCTTTTTGCGGACATGGAAGACAATCATCTACATATATGTACGTTGTACTTTGTATATCATACGGAATACTCCGTACATCGATATACCGTACACCAACCAATATAATATTTTAGTATTGATATTTTTAGGCATTTTCTCTACTGACGTCACTTTACTTGTAAAGGAATTTGCTTCAATTGCTTCTTATTACTGGATATTTCAAGGTCACGTATAGCGCTTATCTTCTACAAAATACTAAGATATACTAGAAAAAAAGGCGTACATTACTTGGGAATTGACCTATTTTGAGAATATAATGCATAAACTTGTTGATCTGTATCAAGAAATATATAGAGCATACGTCCTATGTTATATAAAGAGTCTATTGGCCGTATTGGCCGTGTACTCGCCTGTGTTTGGTTTCTTTTCTATTACTCTTGTTGGTACATATCATCCACACAATATCTTGGTATCATTTCCAATAGTCTCTAAATCTATGAAATGTTCGTGCAAACACTGATATAGAGCGTTCTGCATTGAATTGTTGTAGTAATAATCTAGGTGACGGTAGAACTGCCGCCCTGAGCGGCTCACAGCGACCCTAAGCAGCTCACTGAGCAATCTGATCGCTCACCTCAAGGCTCAGGCTGATCGGCCTATTTGTCAAATGCTCCGACAATAACCGCACTGTTGCCTACTGGTTCCTAGGAGCGTAAGCTAGGAAATGGCATATTCTCACGTTGCTATAGTAACTTCCTCTCACCTTTGAACTTCTAGTTAGTCGACTTAACCATTCTTTTAACTTGTGTGAGAGATTGAATATCATATCATCCCTACAATTTATATTGCGAGGGTCGAAGTCAGGAAGAGGAGACACTCGTAGTTTCTCGGTTAGCTATTCGGTGAATTCCTCTTCTTCCAATTCCTAAACACTCTTCTCCTTCTCTAATTCGGTTTTATCAGTTAAGTGCTACGGACATACCACCACCAATCAGTCGCGGGACCGCAACTTGCTGATGGCCAACCGTGAACCAACCGACCTATCTGTCATCCAGATCACATGAAGATCAGGCTGAGCACGAAGGTGACCAGCCAGGACGGGCGTCAGTTCCATACGCCTTTAACGATAAGGCCACTTTCGGCCTTCTAAGCACAATCACGTTCTATTCCCTTATACCACACCGAATTCCGAGTGCCCACGAGGCACTAGATGTTACACGTGATCATACAGGTAGTAGATGGCGGGAGACTGCGCGGACCCCGGGTGGCGGTCACCTGACCCCCCAGTCCACGACCTGCGATCCTCGTCTCCACTCGATGCAGATCCGGGAAAGGGTACCAGGCACCAATTCGATGAAACTTTGTCTTCTCTGGATGGAACGGATGAATGGAAGGTAATGGATTGATGATGCGAGTGTCCTCTGCTACATGGAGAGACCTCGGAAGTTAAGAGTACCCTCGGGAGGCCCACGTGACCTCCCGTTTCTCGGTCGACTAGTTCCCCCCTGTCAGTAGAAGAGTCGATAGTCGATAAGTAGAATAGTCTATTCTACTCTCTACTAATCTACTAACGAAGGACTCGGGATATATAAGGACGTCATCTATTTTAGTTCTTCGTGTTCAATCATCCATTATTACTTATATCTACTATTCAGAGACCTTTGGTGACTCTTTACTTAATTATAACTACGACCAGATCCGTACCCCCGGTATAGATCTGATCGGCGCTCTACCTAGCATCGCTCCTCGATACACTTAAAAGGACTTGCCCGTATAACGCCTGTTAGGCGACGGTACGGTTAAGAGACAGTGTAAAGAAATACTAGTTGTCAGGCTAGTCCTGTTGGTCAGGCGAGTTGAACAGTGGGGGGCGGGGAAGAAACGTATGGTATTCCTTGTGCAGAGACTAATTCTTGCTAAGTCCAAGATTCAGGGGGAGGCACCCTTGTACCTCTTCGTCCCTGAATCGTGCCCGTCACGATGATGTGTTCAGCTAGCTTCCGAGTCCTCTTTCGGACACATGTAGTGTTCAGGATGATCACATGGTCGATCCTTGGCAACCACCAAAGAAACTCGAGACAAAGAAGTTAAATGTATATCAAGATCCTGGTTCCGCCTCCAGAGCGCTTTTCCTTTACAGACAGATCGTGATGTTGGAAGCAGAGAGGCTTTTAAGGCAGGTATAACCCGGAATCTTCTAACATAGCGACGACTCAATAGTCGTGCGTAACAAGTAGGTTAGTCTATATGATTAAAACTGATCTCTAGGACCTATTTTCCCCGATAAGACTAATACTATAGCGATACATCCTGGTCTTAGTCCTAATCTATATTCTATGTACTACTTAGGTTATAAGCCTAGCCTTTCCTACTATCTCCCTCTCGTTATAGAAGATACCGAAGGTCCTCTCGGTCTACCCTTTATCGAATCAGCCCTATCGTAGGTTAAAGTCACGCTATCCGAGAAGTATAGCCTAGGCTATGGTATCTTAGTCTATAAACTATTTAAGCCTTATATTAATGAAGGTATGTATTCTAGTGTAATGAATAGCTAAGAATGAATAGCTAAGAATGGACCTTGAAGCACTAGCTATTTCCTTTCAACAAAGATAATCATAATCAAACACTTAGACAGAACTTCGCAGCCGTGGTAGCTTACTGCGACCAACTGTTCATCGTCTGACTGTGTAGGAAGAACACTGGGGGAAGCTGATTTTCCTCGAATTGCACCCTTGATGAAATCGGCAGTAAGGTACTGTGGGGGTACTGTCGCATTCGCAGCAGCAATAGGTAGTTTTAACCACCGAGCTACCCAGGAAGACCATTCCTCGAGACTTGGATGCCAAACTTGAGTGGTATGGAGATCGGGATCGCGAAAAACCATGATTGCGCCTGCGGTTCCCGCATATACACACGAATACTCCAAGCTATTCGTTGTATAAAAGCCAGGACCAAACTCGTTATCGTGGTTTTGCTTGTTACGTTCTGGAATGAAGAACGCAAGTGTCGATTCCAAGGCCTCGAGAGTCAGTCCGCAGAACCACAACCTGGACGAGTCTAGACCAGGGCTAGCTAGTTGTTGGATCTTGTTGCATAGTCGAACAGGATTCCTGTCCCATGAAACTTTAAAGCACTTCACGGTGGAGGAAGGAGTGAAACGACTTGTGGCGTAGAGGTCGATCAGGCGATTGGATGTAGCTGTGGTCTTAACAGCCGGTGGCGTGCTGGCTTTTGCTATGGGGGTACTTTTGGGTTGATAATAGTCAAGCAAGTCCGAAATTCGAGGTGGAATTTGCCCCTCGTCGATATGACGATAGACCGGGTACTCGATTCCTGCACCCCAATACGGAACAAGCTCGATCTGGTCTTGGATAACAAAGGCTGGATGATCGATGGCCTCGACCAACTCATCTAGGCCAGCAAGCCATGCAATGCTCCGAAGGGGACCGATGAGCTGGGCGGGTTCTATATAGATTAGTTGGATTCCTGCAACGCCAACCCAAGATCGAACTTACTGCACTTCCCATCGTCCAGGTACTCTCCGATGTCATCAGGAACTTCACCAGGGTACCCATCCCACGATGTCCAGACTGGACGAAAGCCGTGCTTCTCCAGCTTCAGATTGCTCCGCGGCCAACGACGTTCCACAACTTTCTGGCCATCTTCTTCCTCGGAATCTGATTCATACACGGGCTCTTGTTCGATATTGGACATCGATGGCGGGGCTGGATCCATGATTTTTTCTGCGTTCAAGTCCTTGCCATGAACGTCCTTCCTGGGTGCATGTTCAGTGTCTTGTCTTTCGGTGGGTGGGGCTAACGTCGAATGTAGGGCAGACTTGGGACTGTTTAAAGGGACCTGGAACGCTGGTTAGCTATCCATGATCTCGGTCCGTTTTCTTTTCAGAGTGCGGCTAGCCATGACGAGCATAAATACTAACGTCAGGTAAAGATCAGAATGATGATACTTACAAGCTCGCTACAATATTTGATCCTGCTTAAGCGTTCTTTGATTCTATAAGGAAACTACATCTTCGCTCCTCCCGCACAACGCAAATGACATCACTCCCGCGTTCAAGTATACTCCCCGAAGTCGCTTAACCCAATTCCCGGATAGCATCTCTCGCCTCGATAAGCAAGGACTATATAATTACTCTTCCACAAAATCACTAGGTAGCTAGGTAGGAAGGCTTGGGGGGAGGGTTCAGCACCTAACAAAAGGACCGTTCCATTTTTGCAAATAGCGGCTACAATTGGTCAAGACGGAGGGCAGAGCATTATGACATCCTTAATTGCCTACCCTGAGTACCCTGAGTACCCTGAGTGAAGGGTGAGCTGATCCCTGAGCAACCATGAGTGCTCAGGAAGCGCTCTCTGAGTACTCAGTGAACACAAAATAAGAGACGAATCACGTGATGTTTAAATGACTAAGAGCCTAGTAAATAGGACGCTTAAAATGGCGTCAAAACCAGCCGTTTTCGGCGCGCAACTTACCGTCACCTAGCGTGGTGTAGTCACAAATTGTACATATAAACTACTACCTTCTTGATCCTCAATGGATGGCAGCACAATCTGCAGATACTCGATCCTTCAAGATGAGTGCATTGTCCACGGGAATATGAGAATTGACCTATAAACGACCATCTTTACCACTAACATTCAATGATTTCACGGACATGACCGTTTCGCCCCCAACCCTAATCACCCGAGCGGCACAAGTTGCAATCCGTGCAGAAAGATCTTATCCAAATGAAGAAAGTGGGACTGAAGAATTAGTAACTGCGCAAGATATGTATAACTATCCCTTTTAGGATGCTGCCCTGTTACTAAAAGCCCAGCCTCACCCTATTAAGGTTGTTGTGGCGGGTAGAGCTGACCTGTACCTTGATAAGATGAAGAAGGGAAGCCGTCGCTGGAGATATGGACATCGCGAGAGGGCATATTGGGGCGACATCATCTATCTGGAGCACCAGTATGTGACCGTGACTGCTCGGAACGGACGTCAACTCCAGATATATGGAAGCCCATACTCCACGCTGACCATTCCTTCGTTGGCCTTTCAGTACGCTCGGTCCGATAATATTTGGGACCGAATCCCTGACAATATGGACATTCTCATCACTCACACACCACCATACACGCATCGCGACTCTCTCAAAGGCTACCTGCATTTGTTGAATCATATATGGATGGATCGTCCTCGACCGCATGTTTTCGGGTGCTCTCGTGAGCATCATGGATGTGAATTTTTGTATTACGATGCTCTCCAGGAGGCTGCCGAGCGCATTGAGGCAGCGTGTGGGGGCTTTTCCAATCTTCTGATGGTAGTCAAAGGGCTTGTGCAATCCTTTTTCCGCCCTGATATCAGAGCCAAGTCCGTCCTTGTAAATGCATGCACTAACTGGGGCTTGTGGGATCCTGAACGCCAACCGATCTCTGTTGTCATCTGATTCAGGCTGGGGATTGGTCAACTATGGTCCCCAGGTACTTTGCGAGAATGAGACGTGACTCGACATGCGATTCATCTAATTCACCAATAAATGAAACATTTACTTCTAGTTGTACGTGCATAGACGCGTAAATGAAATTGTGATCTTGTCGACTCAACAGTTGTTTATAGAGCGAGGTGACTCTCATTGGTCGAAACACATCAGTGGGGACCATAACACTTTTCACTACGTAGTGCGGAGTACATTTGAGCCAACTTCGTACTTTTACACAGGCATAAACTGACACAGTTACAGTGTCAAATATCTGGAATAGACGTGTTAAAACTAGTCAGCCTTGATCCGGAATGGCACCTCAATGCGAAACGGGAGAAATGGGAGGAATGCCCGGCCTCACCATCTCGGACATTCATTCCTTGAAAAGGAAAGAGGCACTGGAGATTCTTGCCCAGATTTCACGCGTCGAGAAAAAGACCTTCCCCACCAATGAGGCGTTCCCATTCGGCGAGGACTTTTGGCGAAAAAAGCCCAACACGCGAGTTCTGTACGCGATTCGAGCCAAGGGATCGCAGTCTGATCTGATTGCCTATGCGGTCTATGTCCGACAAAAGGGCGTTGCGCTTTTGCACAAGGTCTGCGTGACAGAGCCTAACCGCCGTCAAGGTGTCGGCCAGGAGCTACTGTCCTACATTCATCAGCGCCTGCGAAAGGAGGGCTGCCAGTATATTCAACTCTGGGTGGACCAGGCCAGGGAGCCTGCACGCGCCTTGTATCTCCGAATTGGATTCGAGGAACGCGAGGTCATCCCTGATTACTATGCCCCTGGACGAACAGGCATCAAAATGGTCCTGTATTTACAAGCTTGATGAGTGCGCCACTGCCGTCAATGCTGCACCCTTCGGGCCTTTTTCCTTCACACTAAAAATGTTCCTTGCCTTATCGGTCACTTTCGAATAGATCCGAGGGGCACTGGTAGGGCGCGTCTATGCTCCTTGGCTGCCGCAGGAGCCACCTATGGCTACCCCTTGCATGGACACGGGCATCTTCGAAACGTGAGATTATCGCGATCAGGCCTGCGTCCATTCTCCGCTGTCATTCTGCCACATACTTCCGCGATATCCAACATATCCAGGTATGGCTTTTTTGAAAGGGCACGCCTTGAATGTCTACCTGGTCCCTTTGGTACGAGAGGGACCGCGGTCCTTTTCTGGAAGATCATGCGTGATACTCTTTCATCTTCGTCTTGAATCTCCTTCTTTCCATCTTTACTACTTTCACTATCTTTCGCCGTGAGATTGGAAGCACTGTTGGTGGTCGGTGAGCTGGCTGTGTATTTTCCAGCTATATACAGTTCCAAGTGCTCGCGTTTTCTTAATCGACAATGGCGTTCTTTCTCACCATCGTGCTGGCTTTTCTGTCAGTCGCCAGTGCAGCATCCTTGTCTGCCAATTATCCCATTAACGCGCAATTGCCACCCGTTGCCCGAGTCTCACAGCCTTTCCGATTTGAATTCGCCCAAAGTACTTTCTCTAACAGTGACGCGGACACTAAATACTCGCTATCAAATGCACCATCATGGCTCGAGGTGGACAGCAGCAGTCTCACCCTGTTCGGAACGCCAGACTCAGGCGACAGTGGCGCCAACAAATTCAAGCTTGTGGCATCGAATGGATCGGAGAAGGACAGCATGGACGTTACTTTAATCGTAACAGCAGACCAGGGACCGACAGTAAATAAACCGCTTGTACCTCAACTACAGAAACTGGGACCGGTCTCATACCCTGCCACCTTGTTCATCCATCCAGGTCGTCAATTCTCGATCGAGTTCGATCAGGATACCTTCGACAACACGCATCCTTCCACGATATACTACGGAACCTCGCCGAATAACGCCCCGCTGCCTTCCTGGATCAACTTCGACCCGGCAGCCCTGAAGTTTGCTGGAAATAGCCCTGCTTTTCCAGGTGCGGGACCTCAGACATTTACTTTCCAGCTGATCGCATCAGATGTAGCTGGGTACAGTGCGGCCAATGTGACTTTTGAACTGTCGATCGGTCCTCATATACTGACATTCAATGAGACTGTCCAAAACTTCAACCTTACGAGAGGAGAAGAGTTCAACAGCCCCGCATTCACTAGCCTTCTGTCTATGGATGGTTCGCTAATTTCTATCAAGGAGCTGGCAAAGGTTGATGCTGAATTACCTGACTGGTTGAAGCTGGATAAGGACCATATATCGCTGAGCGGTACGCCACCCAATAATGCTGTGAACGAGAACATCACCATTGCCGTTACCGACACTTTCCAGGATCAAGCGCACTTGATGGTTCGCTTAGAGTTCTTGAAACTGTTCCTCGACACCGTTGACGGCTGCGAGGCAGCTATTGGCCAAGACTTCGAGTTTGTGTTCAATCAGTCCATCGTCACTGATGACTCTGTACGATTGGAGGTCGATTTGGACAATGATCTCACGTGGCTTACCTACTTCTCGGACAACAAGACTCTTTACGGACACGTTCCGGATGACATGGATCCCAAGAAATTCACTATCCCTCTTACTGCATATCAAGGATCGACCGAAGACTCAATGAACTTCGTTCTCGATGTGCTCAAAGCCTCGGACACACATTCGAACCCCACAGATCCGTTCACTGATTCTGACAGCCCCAACCACAAGAAGGCTGGCATTATCGCCATCTCGGTCGTGGTCCCATTTGTGGTAATTCTGAGTCTGCTGATTCTCTTCTGCTGCTGGCGTAGCCGGAAGAACTCACCCACGATCGAAGAGGGCCCATCCGACAGAAAGCTTGCTCCACCACGACCTGTTAGGCCAGATGTTCCTAATTGCCAGCCATCCATGACGGAAAGACCCTCCCGCGATGACAATTCCGAAGATTGGATGAGTCCTATCTCACCGTCATCGATCCCCAAGCTCGAACTTGGGCCTGCGTGGAACGTGTCATCATTTGATAAACGGGAGAACCCAGTTAACTTTGTTATCCCTGAGCCCATTATTCCCCCTCGCTCCCCTGCTCGCAACTCTCCCACTCGTGGTGGCTTCGTCCCGCGGCGGGACACCATCACCGAAGAGGACAACCCGGTTCAAACCGTGTCGCCTTCCAAGAAGCAAAACAATCGCCTCTCATACACGAACAGCCCCGTGCGTCGTAGGACCACGAACCGGTCCCGACGAGAGCCGTTGAAGCCGATCCAGCCGCGAGCCATGAAGCGAGAATCTCTCCAATCTTCCAAGTCCAAGAGATACTCAAAACGCTCGAGCGGTATCTCCTCCATTGCCTCTGGACTGCCTGTACGATTCAGCGGAGCCGGCCATGGTGCCGGCGGCTTCGGACCTCCCGGCCACGGCGTGGTGCACACATCATGGCAAAACGCACGAGCCTCAATGATGAGCGATGAGACCAGCCTAACGAACATGGCGCCAATGTTCTCGCGTCCGCCAGCGGGACGTATGCGCCATAGTATGGCGTCCAGCATTCCCGAAAACTACAGGCGCATGACCCTACGCACCGTCGAGCCCGACGACTCTATCCTCTCCGAAGCCGACTCCCTGGAAGCCTTTGTCCACAGCCGAGCCAAGCACCGCAACTCCTCCAACCCTCTCTTCTCTGCGCAGATCAGCCGGCGCACTTCCTCCGGCATGCGCGCGCTCGACCGAAACCGCAGCATGCGCAGCCGCGCTGATACGGTCTCCGTATCAACCTTCAGCGACGAATTCCGCCAATCCATGCAAGAACGGCCCTTGTCGACAGCGATATCGGCCTCAGAATACGGCGACGACAACAACACCACCAACCGCTTCTCCCAATATCAGAACCAGGCCGGTCTATTCCCCCTTGCTGAGGGCAGCGTATATGGCCAGAGTCAGTTGAGTCTTGCAGGTGACTACCGCGGTGCTATCTCCCCTCTGCCGCAGTGCTGGAGCGAGAATAGTATGGCCAGTGCTCTGCAGTTGGAGGGCCAGGGCAGCTCTCAGCCTCGGAAAGTGAATGATGAAAACGCCATGCCGCACAGCTCGTCTATGATTTCGGATCTGGATGAGCACCTGTCGCGCAAGGTCAACCCTAATAAGAGCGCCAATCATCAGTGGTGGTTGTCTTCGCCTGTTGAGCCCCCACGGCCGCTGAAGAATGCCGATAATCGGAGTCTTCCTGTAGCTAGTAGTGGAGAGCTGGCATTTGTTTGATCTTTGGCTTTGTCTCTTCGCGTCTTGTATCTCTATATCTTCAAATGTTTCTCGTTTTGGTCTCTTTTCTTTTTTGCTCTGTTGTGTTTCTGGCGTTCTCGGGCATTGCGAACGTGATATCCATTGGCTTTTCTAAGGTTGATTGGTTGGTATTTTGGTCAAGTCTTTTAAACTAGTTGATCTAGTTTTGGAGCGAATAATAATATCTCTGCATCTCGATTGTTTCGGTGTATCAAATAGGATTCACCGCTGGATCTCATATTCGCCTTCGCAGTAATTTCTAACTCATTGGGGTAATACGAGAACTAAGGAGCAAGAAAGTTAGTCCCTACAGATAGAATAGTTGCAGTCTTTCAAGTTTGAAAAGTTAGGCATCTTGAATATGGCGTGACTGTACGGTGACTACGACTACATAGCCCACATTTACGTCCCCTTCAGCCTCAACGAGATACAGGACACAATATACTAGATACTAACTATCTACTACAGACTCCCTTACAAGAAATTTCTCTCAAGTCCAAACTCCAAAAACACCCAGTGAACCAGTCCAACTCCCCCTCACGTGACCCTATCTATTAGAGCACGGCGTAACAAAAGCGGTAAACGCAATACCAGGAAATCTCTGCGAGATCTCAGTCGGACTTTCTCTATTAAGCTTCCTTGAAATTGTCTTCTCAACACTGTCTTCTTACAAACCCCCTACTCTCTTCTAAAACATCCAAGTACAGAGGCAAGAAATCCATCGTCATCCGTCGTTCCCCACTTATCGCGGGACCCAGACGCGCTGAAAGCCCTGCGCCCTCATCTGACCCTTTCCTTACAGCACCTCCAGCACCTCCAGCATTTTCCACACTTCGATCCGGAAACCTCGATTCCACCACCTCCCCCGAATTATTCAATCTTTGCCAATATGGGTCAAACCCTATCGGAGCCGGTGGTCGAAAAGGTGAGTCGATATTTCGCTTTTTTTGATTCACCCCACACTGGCCCATTGTGACCCTCCAATGTCTTTCTATGGCTTCTAAACACCCCCCCCCC